GTAACAAACCACTTACCATTCGTTTGGGTACTCATCAAGTTATTGAAGGGTGGGTGTGGTTTAATAACTATTAAATTAATAAGCAATTATGATGTACATATTAATAATTTTATGTTAATGAATGAGTAATTTTGGTATCATACCGTATAACGCTTTAATTTGGCGGAGTTTTATTTTGGCGGAGTTTTATTTTGGCGATTGGCGGTTTGCAAGCAGGATCACCAATATTAAAACCACCAATCATTAATGCGCATGCTCAGTAATGCTCGTGTACACAAAAATCGCCAAATTAAAAACCTCCAATTACAATTTTACAGCAAAATCGCCAAAATAAAGTGCCACCAAAATAAAGCGTTATACGGTATTTAATTAAAGATGTTATTTGTTTCTATCACTAGGTTGGAAGTAGGTGTGGCTAGCATGAGAAAGGAGGAGGTGTCTCAGTTTCTTGTGAAGTCTCCCTACGCCTTTGGGGACATGGGTTGTCCCCCACGAATACCGCCTGCAGCTTCAAGTTAGGGAAAATTTAAACTGATTGTGATCAAATTGGATTTTTTACGAATTTTTAAAGTTGCTCCAAAATCGGACAAAGTCCCTGTACTGTAGTACATGGTTTCAGGCCAAATTTTGCCACAATTGAAAAGGAGAGAATTCTCAATTTTTATAACTTTTTCTGATACATATACATGTACTTATGTTATGTAAAAAGTTTGAATCGATTCTGATCAAAATTGAATTTTTTACAAATTTTTAAAGTTGCTCCAAAATCGGGTAAAAGCCCCCTGTACTATAGTACATGGTCCATGGGCTGTGGCCATAGTTTGCAATAATTTAATGTTCTTGATTTTATGTTTGTACATGTACATGTAAATTTTTTTCCCCTTTCTTCTTTAGTTCTTTTTGAAGTCGAAGTCCTCTCCTTTGTTGATCACAGTGCTGCTGACAGTTATGACGAATTACCTGATGAGGATAAAGCCAAAGTTAGCCTTAAGGAAATTGTAAATGTCGCCAATGCAGAGAGAGAGGTAAGAACTGAAGTTTTTTGTAATAGAAACATTTTGTGGTGACTTTGATTTTTTAAGCATTACTGATGTAATGTAAATCATG